GTGCTATTTTTGAATGCTGCTTGTCTCACTTTTTTTAACGAATTATAACCCCCTTCCCTCTACAATGCCACGATTATTGAGGCTATTCAAAATAAATACATAATTAAATAGTTAAATAAAAATAAACATTTCGTATATCTTTTCTTATGCAATTTCGTAAGAGTATTACAGGAATGTACTCGTTATTATTGAAACGACACGCATGAAATTTGAGTAGTACGGATGTATTTCAGGTTATTGAGCACTCTGGCATGGGACAACTGTAAGCTATCCCTAGGCTGTATATAATGCGCCAACTATTACCCTCGCCTGTCACACCAGACACTACTAGAGGCAGAAACGCCTGTTTTGAACCTGAACTGATTCGAAATGCACAGACGAAGGTCCTCGGGATATTGAAAAGTTTTATGGGCACCGTAGGCACTTGCGCATACACGCACAGTTTATAAAGCATAGCATTGCAAGAGTAAGTGATGTTTACACATATATATTGCTACTTCATAAGAAGAATAAACTTTATCATCTATCACTTGATAACTTCTCCGGACACACAAAGTGTAGACAACTCATACCGGTCCCTTTACCTCGCACAAGCTATATATACAAAAATTTTTTTCCGCGAGTATCAGATACCAAGGACACCTAAAACAATTTTATCATTTAGTTTCCAACTTCGAACGGCCTGCCTGTACCTCCAAGAAGTTTGCCAACTATGCTTATAGACAAAGAGCAACTTATGTAACATTACCGTCTTTCTTATCCCGATGCGTACAAATTGTATGTGTAGTAGTACTTGTTTATCCTAAATTTCACCGACATGTTGTACAGCTTGTTTGTAAGACTCGTGTGACTGATGTTTAATTTTCCCAATGAAGTGTCTTGTGTGATTTTCGGCTTGTGCCTTGTGGTTAATGATATCTTTATGGTTAGTTATGTACTTATAATTTTAGAAAGATTACCACAGCTTGCGCGGTATTTTGACCGTCTTATATATGTTCGCGGCATCTTTTCGTGCAAAGATTGCAGACTTGGTGTTGGACATAAACTTCACGAAAAAAAAACGCGTTTGCTTCGTTCAAGAATTATAACCTGCCAAAACTGTAGTGTGCAATTTATTTGCTTTGCAGGTACCTCCGTATCACCTATAGCGAATAATTTGTGCTGAAAATATAATTTAGACTACCCGTGTCCCCTTGTGAAAACCTTGCTTTGGCTATGCTCTTTGAGGTTCGCTATCGACCGCAAACCATTGTTTTCTTGATCTAGTTGAAAGAGACAGACCATCTAGAACCTAAATCATGCAGGCAAGCGGTCGCAAACCAGTTGGCAAGACGATGTGCAGTAAGGTCGCAGCTTGCACTTGGCGCCGCTTTGATACCTTCAGTTACACACCGATCGATTATGGCTTTCGTCTATAACTCTCGTCCGCTTGCCTTGCTGCCAAGTAACACTTTTCTCTGAATATTAAGCCCCTTGGCCTTTGATGTCGTATGACGAAAAAGAAAACTTATCGATACATTCTATTCATGACTATTTGCCACCGGCGTCACTATAAGTTCATTGGAGTGGCAGTTTGGCCAAGTGGTGTACAGTGTACACCGTTTTTTTTTGTTTATTCTTTTTCAACATAATACGCGTCAAGATACGACATGCCTAAAGACAGATTAAGTGCCATACTATGGGTTCTACGACCAAAGTAAGTTTGTGTGGGTTGACAATGTGGCAAGCTTTGATCTCAACTCGCACAGAGTAAAAAGGCACAAAGGCAGGGTCAGACAGGGAAGCTAGAACAAGGAATATTCGCCATCGTCGTCCCGTCAACCCCTCCTTTCCTATATCTTTTACTCTGTCTGAGTGGCGCTTAAGACTAAGCGGAAACCATAAACGAAATAGCGGTATGCCAATCGATGGGTCGGCAGACTGTCAGCGCACTGCCGGGGTGTATGACCCAAGACGGTGCAAGATCAGCCTGCCTGCCCGGTTACTCGCTGCGATGTTGTTTACATCTTTCACAAAAGAGACTGACTGAAGAGAGGATATTCGTGTCTCTCTTCGCGTGCAAACGGGCAACCCTAGAGTGTTCATAGCTAGTGACGTTGCTGCTCCGGGACCTCGTGCGAGTGCATTTTTAACGACATAATAAAAATAGAGGTTGGCTCTCTCTTAAAGAAAGCTATTTATTTCGTCGCCGAGTACCCCCTTTTTGCAGGAATGCAGTGAACCCAACGCTGTCTGCCACATTCTGAACGCATGTGCAGCACAAGCTAGAATTTGTGCGGCACGCGAACATTTAGGAACACCTGTATCGCCGTTCTGTCCGGGAACGTGGCGTTCAGTCATATTTTACAACATGTGGTAGTAATGGCGACCTGTGCAGTTACCCAATTTCAAAAAAAAAGCAAAAAACATATTTCAGACTTAAAGCAGCTCGAAATTCCCATTGGCAGTGGAGCACGTCCCGTAAACTTTTGTTGTCGGTCGTACTGGGTTTCCCAAATAATCACCGCTTTGCTCGTGGTATACAAGGATAAACTCGTCAAGGCTATGCCTGTTCACAGTAAGCGAACAGCGAACTGATTTTTGCAAAATATAAGTTTGCAAAATATATAGGGTTGCTTCTGAGCTATAACATGGCTACCACATGTTGCAACTAGCGGTGATGCAGCTCTGCAGTGTTGCTTCACGGCATTCAGGCGTGTGCGTCCCGTTCGAGACTCGCAAAGTGTGAGAGATATATTCATGTGACCCGCACTTAGCTGCTCACATATCCCACCTGATTGCATATAATAATGTGTATGCCTGTGTTCACGTTGTAGATGGGTTAACGTGCCGGAGGAGGCAGAGAGAGAGAGAGAATAAACTTTTATTATTACCTTACTTTTATTATTACCACAGGAGGCAAGGATAAAGCATGGGAACGTTTTGTAAAGTGGTCTACAAACACCCGCTGCATGGTGCCGTTTTGCATGTTAGCGACCCATTTATTGATTGAAATATGATTATTGCTTCGTGCACGCAACTAACTGGAAAGAATGGTACCTTATACCATGCGATCTGCATAATTCACACTTTCGTCTTGATTCAAACCCACTCCAACTATTAAGCTATTTACTTATCTTATAAAGCGATTATTTATATATATTCAGAGTTCAGCTTACATGCCCCTATTCGTTAATATACAAGCTTCATCTTCACGGTGTTCTGTCTGTTTATAAATATGAGAGCTGCATACAGCTATCGTCATCGTCAGTAACACAAAACACCCGCAAGAAGCACAGATATGCTCGACTGCTATGGTGACGACACTACAACGATTTTTGTAATCTGCTGTTTGTCTTCGCGTTAACATTTGTTCCACAGCTATATTGTGAACGTGACAACCACTCGCACAACTTTTCACTAAAGCATTTCGCGGTCACAAGGGCCTCAAAAAATTGTTTCTTTTCCATGCAGGCGTTCCTAACATGGCCGTAAACCAGCTCCGGGACTCTGTTCTCAACTTCGCCGTTGACTTGTACGGGCAGTTAAAGCCGAAGGATGGGGACAAGGAGAAACTCTTTTTCTCAACCGTTCAGCATCTCGGCTGCCCTTTCAATGGCCCTCGGAGGAGCACGCAACAAAACGGCGAGGAGTTGTTACCGTGCTCCGAGGTGCCCGACGATGTGCCGATACACAGCACTTTTCTGACTTCTTCTCGAAGCTGAAGTCCTACGCTGCCGATGTAAAGCTGCACCATAGCAACCGCATGTAATGCGAACAGACGTTCCCGTGCTGGCCAGCTACTTGTCCCTTCTGCGTGACAGCTATGGTGCCACTATCGAGTCTGTCAACTTCAAGGCTGACCACGAGGCAGTCCGACTTCAAGCCAACGCGTGGGTAGAGCGAGAGACAGAGTACAAGATAAAAGATCTGCTACCCGGAAGCAGCGTGAACGCTGGGACCACTCTGATTCTGATAAACGCCATCTACTTTAAGGGCCTTGGGCTTCGCAATTTAAACCTGACGCCACTCGTCCCTCCGATTTCCACCTGGACTCCAAGAGCAAGAGAAAGTCGAGATGATGTTTCATAAGGACCGTTACAGCACGGCCAGGTGCCAGGAACTTGACGTGGAAGCCCTGGAAATAACGTACCAAGGCAATAAAATTCCATGGTCATACTCCGGCCTAACGATGTTGAGGGACTGTCCAAGCTCGAGGAACGCTTGACAGCTTCCAAGCTTGCGAGCCTACTGGACAACCTTTGTGGATTTGCCGACGTCGAGCTGTACCTGCCCAAGTTCAAGCTGGAACAAGTGATTAGTCTGAAGGAAGTATTACATGAAATGGGAATCAAGGATTTTTTCTCGTCGGATGCCGACCTGTCCGGTATTAGTGAGAAGAAAAAATGGCAGCTTCCGAAGTGGTTCATAAGGCGTTCGTGGAAGTCAATGAAGAAGGCACCGAAGCCTCGGCCGCTACCGCTGTAATGATGGTAGCCTGCTGTATGTCTTCACTGCCACCACGGACCTACAAATTTATAGTAGATCGGCCTTTCATGTTTGTCATTCGAAGCCGTGACCAGATCTCGTGCTCTTCATGGGCTCCGTCCGCGACTTGTAAACGCGATACTCCTGTACCGCTTGCCAATATATGTTGCTGGTCACTCCTGACAATGTTACACGACGCTTGGCAATGTGCTGCTGCGGAGTGCTTCAAATATTGCAATAAAGAATGTTAAGCTATGGAAACGCGTGTACGACTCCTACTTCACCGACGGGACAGACTATCTTTTTCTGTGTCCCGATGTTGGCATTGTTTTCTCTGCACGCCGTATGCCAAGCATTCGGAGCACGCGAAGCACACAATGCAGGAACTGTTGTAACCTGTCGTTGTTCACACGCTTAAGTGTTTTATTTTCACCGCGTATATTGTCACCTACGTAGAAACTACACCTATGATACTCCACTAGCGCTATTTGTCGTCGCAAAGTACTTTACAAAATTGTTTTAATTCCGTGCAGGCATTCCGAACATGGCCGTCAACCAGCTCGGGGACTCTGTTCTCAACTTCGCCATCGGCTTGTATGGCCAATTGAAGCCGAGGGACGGCCGCAAGAAAAACATTTTTTTCTCGCCATTCAGCATCTCGGCTGCTCTTTCAATGGCCCTCGGAGGAGCGCGCAACAAAACAGCGAAGGAGTTGTCCACGGTTCTTCGAGTTCCCGACGATGCACAAATACACAGACACTTTTCTGACTTCTTCTCGAAGCTGAAGTCCTACGCTGCCGATGTAAAGCTGCACATAGCCAACCGCATGTACTGCGAACAGACGTTCCCCGTGCTGGCCAGCTACTTGTCCCTTCTGCGTGACAGCTATGGTGCCACTATCGAGTCCGTCGACTTCAAGGGTGACCACGAGGCAGTCCGACTTCAAGCCAACGCGTGGGTAGAGCGAGAGACAGGGTACAAGATAAAAGATCTGCTACCTGGAGGCAGCGTGAACGCTGGGACCACTCTGATTCTGATAAACGCCATCTACTTTAAGGGCCTTTGGGCTTCGCAATTTAAACCTGACGCCACTCGTCCCTCCGATTTCCACCTGGACTCCAAGAGCAAGAAGAAAGTCGAGATGATGTTTCATAAGGACCGTTACAGCACGGCCAGGTGCCAGGAACTTGACGTGGAAGCCCTGGAGATAACGTACCAAGGCAATAAAACTTCCATGGTCATACTCCGGCCTAACGATGTTGAGGGACTGTCCAAGCTCGAGGAACGCTTGACAGCTTCCAAGCTTGCGAGCCTACTGGACAACCTTTGTGGATTTGCCGACGTCGAGCTGTACCTGCCCAAGTTCAAGCTGGAACAAGTGATTAGTCTGAAGGAAGTATTACATGAAATGGGAATCAAGGATTTTTTCTCGTCGGATGCCGACCTGTCCGGTATTAGTGAGAAGAAAAAACTGGCAGCTTCCGAAGTGGTTCATAAGGCGTTCGTGGAAGTCAATGAAGAAGGCACCGAAGCCTCGGCCGCTACCGCTGTAATGATGGTAGCCTGCTGTATGTCTTCACTGCCACCACGGACCTACAAATTTATAGTAGATCGGCCTTTCATGTTTGTCATTCGAAGCCGTGACCCAGATCTCGTGCTCTTCATGGGCTCCGTCCGCGACTTGTAAACGCGATACTCCTGTACCGCTTTGCCAATATATGTTGCTGGTCACTCCTGACAATGTTACACGACGCTTGGCAATGTGCTGCTGCGGAGTGCTTCAAATATTGCAATAAAGAATGTTAAGCTATGGAAACGCGTGTACGACTCCTACTTCACCGACGGGACAGACTATCTTTTTCTGTGTCCCGATGTTGGCATTGTTTTCTCTGCACGCCGTATGCCAAGCATTCGGAGCACGCGAAGCACACAATGCAGGAACTGTTGTAACCTGTCGTTGTTCACACGCTTAAGTGTTTTATTTTCACCGCGTATATTGTCACCTACGTAGAAACTACACCTATGATACTCCACTAGCGCTATTTGTCGTCGCAAAGTACTTTACAAAATTGTTTTAATTCCGTGCAGGCATTCCGAACATGGCCGTCAACCAGCTCGGGGACTCTGTTCTCAACTTCGCCATCGGCTTGTATGGCCAATTGAAGCCGAGGGACGGCCGCAAGAAAAACATTTTTTCTCGCCATTCAGCATCTCGGCTGCTCTTCAATGGCCCTCGGAGGAGCGCGCAACAAAACAGCGAAGGAGTTGTCCACGGTTCTTCGAGTTCCCGACGATGCACAAATACACAGACACTTTTCCGACTTCTTCTCGAAGCTGTCGTCGTACGCTGCTGACGTCAAGCTGCACATCGCCAACCGCATGTACTGCGAACAGACGTTCCCCGTCTTGGAGAGTTACCTGTCTCTCCTTCGAGACAGCTACGGCGCAACTGTCGAGTCCGTTGACTTCAAGAACAAGAGCGAGACAATTCGACTTCAGGCCAACGAGTGGGTGGCAGCGAGAGGACTGAGTCCAAGATCAAAGATCTTCTACCAGGAGGCAGCGGTGAACGACATACCACTCTCATCCTGATAAACGCTATCTACTTCAAGGGCCTTTGGGCGTCTCAGTTCGAGCCTGATGCGACTCATCCCTCCTATTTCCACCTGGATTCCAAGAGCAAAAAACAGGTCGACATGATGTTCCAAAAGGATCGTTACTGCACTGGCAGAAGCAAGGAGCTCGGCGTGGAAGCCCTCGAGATACCGTACCGGGGTGGCAAAACATCCATGGTGATCCTTCTGCCCGATGAGCTTGGAGGACTGTCCAAACTCGAAAAGCGCTTGACCGCTTCAAAGCTCGGGAACCTGCTAGAGAACCTTCGTGGATTTTTTGACGTCGAGTTGTACCTGCCGAAGTTCGAACTTGAACAGACGATTAACCTGAAGGAAGTACTGAAACAAATGGGAATCAACGATTTTTTCTCGTTCGATGCTGATCTGTCCGCCATCAGTGAGAAGGACAAGCTGGCAGCTTCCGAAGTGGTTCACAAAGCGTTCGTGGAAGTGAACGAAGAAGGCACCGAAGCCACTGCTGCCACAGCAGTAATGATGGCCGCCTGCTGCTTGTCTTCAGCGCCACCGCAGACCTACAAGTTTATAGTGGATCGGCCGTTCATGTTCGTCATTCGCAGTCGTGACCCTGATCTTGTGCTCTTCATGGGATCCGTACGCGACTTGTAAAAGGGGCCAATATGTAGAGCGTTGGAAGTATGTGCTCCAGGCGATTTTCGACAATCTTACAGGAAGTTTACCGATGAGCTGTCGTCGAGTGCTAAAATATGGCAATAAAGCGTGCTAGTATACAAAAACGTGTCTGTGGATGTCATTGTGTGGGTATGGCATGCCTTATCATTTTCTACGTCCTAACGTTCTTCCTTTGTTGTCATCTAACACAATATGTAATCTTGAGTTCCAGAAAAAGGAGCTCTGTTTAAGACAGTGAGAAAAAAATGTCAGATCCCACGTACAGTGGGAATCTATTATACGTAATGCACGAATGAGGCAGGTTATATGTTCTACCGTACATGACATTCATGACATGATTATCATGTTTGCGCATGGCATTTACGTTCGTTGTGCATTCACGTCACGTAATACCAAATTTAGTATATTTGAAGCTAGCGAAACGACCGCGAGCATGCTATGAGCATAGCAAAAAGTCATGTTTTACGTTACACACGTGTCATGATTATCATGTTTACACGTGTCATTTACCTCCGTCGTCCATTCGCGTCACGCAATATTCGTTCATGTGAAGCTAGCGAAACGGCCTCGAGCTCATCATGATCGTGGTATGTGGTCATGTTCTTACCTGACACGCATGTCATGATTATCATGTTTGCACCAGTCATATACCTTCGTCCTCCATTCACGTCATGCAATATCCAAATTTGATATATGCGAAGCTAGCGAAACGGCCCCGAGCGCACTATGATCGTAGCATGTATTCATAACTTACATGATATGCATGTCATGATTTCTACGTTAGCGCTTGTCACGTTCGACATGCAGTCATGTCATGCCATACTAGCTTTGGAATCTGTCATGTGAATGAAACCACCGCAAGAGCAGCAAAACCATGACATGTAAATCACGTAATTCATGACATTGATGCCGCGATTTTCTTGTTACGACTAGTTAATTACGCTCGTCATACAGTCATGTTATGCCGTACCAACTTTGTAGATCCAACAATTGAAACGGCCAGAAAAACGAAATGTCCAAGGCGGCTAGATAGACAGACACGGGCAAAGGCACTGAAGTTCGTGAAGAAATGCTTCGCATTTAAAATCTTAGAAAACTAACAACTGGCCTTTAAATACACTTTACAGTAGAAACTCGAGTCGCACAAGACGTGTAGAGCTTGTAGACACATCACTTCCGAGCACTTGTGTTGTGGACTTTTCGCTTCAGCCTTGTCCTACCAACATGACGAAACAGTCACCTTAGTGGACAATTTAAACGCTCTTTATATTGGAGGAGCGCATCGTAAAATCGAGGTTTCGTGAGGTGTTTCAAGAGAATCTCCACCTCACCGTATTCCCCTTTAGCCCTACCATGCGGCTCCAGCTCCGTGAATCAGATCAACCTGAACCTAGCTAGACACAGTTTGTGGGATGTCAGAACCTGCGCGACTAGAAAACACAGAGTTAGCGTGGAATTGAGCGGACGAAGGCATCACGCCCACTCACTCTGAAATTTCCGCATGCAATACGTGTCCGCCAGACGATTGTGTCATTTTCGACACAGCAGTGAAGTGTCCGATGCTACACACAATGCGGCACTATCAGCCATAGCTTCGCTTTGCGAGACAATCCCAGCGTCCATACATGTGTATGGGCACGGTCTTTTTTTTTGTTGCATTTTGTGGCTCTATGGCTGCTCGCGATAGCGATAACAATGCTCTTAAAGCGCCAGTCTCACTCCGTTTGGTACGTCGGTGCGAACAAGCAGGTAACATCTACAATCTTGTTGCAACGACTGCAATCTTCTTGGCGCTTCCTATCGCTGTGGGAGGTCCTCTGAGGTGCGTAGTTAATAACATCCATCTCTAAATAACTTCTTACGTTATGATAATTGTAGATTGACAGCTTCCTGATTTACACTTCAGTCGAAATGACAGGAAAAGGCTGTAAAAGCGTGTGTGGGCGTGCGTGCGTTTGTGTTTACATAACATCGTCTTTACTGCACGCGAATCTGGCCCTGCGTAGGTTCTAATGAATTGCATACATCATTCCACATTATTTTGTGGTAACAAGATCATGCCGTCACTCGTTGCGCACTGCTCAGAGTTTTGTTTTGTCGAATATCTTCCAGTGACAATTCGGCCTCGTTTGTCGACACTCCGTTCATTCGTCCAGTTCCTGTAGGCCTCGTCTGACATTGATTTCACCAATTCCGGAATGCTAGTGTGACGCATCGGCAACCTTATAGTTATAAAATGTCTTACCCGCATTGGTGCGTTGCTGTGAAGCACCTGGGTAATCAAGAATAAATGCAACTGATAAGCATGTATTGATTCAAAGTTCAAAGAAATTTGCAATAGGTTTTTGCGCTTTCACAACTACGTTAATGCAGTAAACACCGCTGTATACTATAGGTAAAAGCTTATGCCAAGGGCACATATTTTTCTTTTTAGCGAGAGAACCACGCCTACAAACGCTGCGTAAACCATTTAGGGTGAAAGCGGCCAAAGTTTACCTGTCATATGAACCGCAGTAGCCTAGCCATTGTGTTGTTCTTCCGCTCATGGAACATGCCACGCTTGCTTAGACATCATCGAGTCAGTGTTATAGGTTCCTATCTCAGGGCGGCGCGACCGATTCTGCAAACCATACAACAGCCATTCTTTCACGGAATATGAACGTTTATTGAACAACGTATGTTTTCACACACACACACACTATATATATATATATATATATATATATATATATATATATATATATATAATATATATATATATATATATATATATATATATATATATATGATGGGTTATGCTATGCTATATCAAGTGCAAGTGTACTTGGTCTATTTTCGACCATCTCCGACCATGCTGAAAAAAAAAATCATGGATGTGTATGTGTAGCGCAGAAGTAGTTATTGAGGTGTTACACTTAAAAAAAATTGTGTTGCCTAAAGGGCGCTTCTAGCTTTGGCCACCCATAGGAAACTGTGTCCCCAAATAATTTATATAATATTAGTGGTTTGAGCAATTACTACGAAATGATTTTTTTCAATTATCTCAAGGCGATACTCTTGACAATGATAGTTCATTTATTTGTGTTTTAATTTTCTTTTTTTTTTGCTTTGGCGAATAATGGCAGTATGCTTCTTGTTTAGCACTTTTTATATAAAAAACACTAGTTTTTTCGTCAGTAGTATGTTGCCATTTCCTGTTTCATATGTTGCTTTATTAAATGATTGAAATATTTCGAAACAAAGAAGCATAAATACAGCCAGAGTATTGTGGCAAACTTAGGAAAAACACCATTTTGGCTCATATTGCGGCTTAATTCTCTCAATATAGCGTTCCAAGTAAAAACATGGCTCTGGCATTGCATAACATAGTTTGACAGTAAAATAAGCAGAAAGTTTCAAAAGAGTAGTTTCTGTTTTAATGGAGAAAAAGAACTTTCACCTGAACAACCACAAAGTAGTAGAAAATCTGCCTTTGTCTAACCTTCACTGCATAGCACGAGAGCGCGAGGTTCCAGCGGATTCTTTTCAGTAGCGAACAATGCATGTCATACAACTCCTTGTCACTTGTTTTGGTAATACTGCTGTATCTGACGTCGAAATGGCGCAGTAGTGTTTCCTTCATAGAACAGTAACCTCCCCCTTGAACCATCAAAGAGGAGATTATATTGAACCGCTTCTTTGTCCCAAGTGGCAGAATTATGATGCAGTCGACGGCCGGCAATACAGTACTGAAGCGTTGTATTTGGAAGTGTGGCAGCTTGGGCTAGTTGGTATGTGTTTGGCTTCTGATAATTATGCACATGGTGTTAATAACAATGAACGAGAGAGTTAAAGTATATTTCATCTAGACTGTTTTTATTGTGTTTCAGGTATGGGCGGATGCGGGATCGCTCACCACTGGTGTGCATGATAAAATGATGTATCCTAGACATGTTAGAGATGATTCGATACCGTGCACATAAATGACACTTTAGTCAACATTCCGGAGGGATTTTAACTTCTTCATTCCGCTCTTTCTTAATGGTGCGAAAGTGCTGAAAATATTACTACTTAGAGCCCGTCCGGTAATGGTGACATGCTTTCAACGTTTTCAACACCATAGGACCATTAAAATAGATGAAAAGTTGAAATAACATCCGTACATTCATATATATATATATATAATATATATATATATATATATATATATATATATATATATATATATATACTATAATAGATATATATATATCTATATATATATTATATATATATATATATATATATATATTATATAAGGGAAAGAAGTGTATACCTAAGGGCTCGTTTTTCCGTGTTTTAACACAATATTAATGAGATCTACCAGACAGTAATGCCAAGGAATGTACAGGGGAAGTTATTAGAACCAATGGAACGTAAATAAGAAGAAGAAAAGTGGATTAAAAATAACCAGCCTTGGGCAGGTTATATATATATATATATATATATATATATATATATATATATATATATATATATATATATATATATATATATATATATATATATATATATATAAACGTGAACACACGTCTTCCTTTTTTTTCCAAGTTGCCGTGGTTAATACCTCTGGGGCCAATTGGTCAAATGTTTCTTTCGTAAGTGTTCATCCCAATGGTGAGCCTTGTTTGCTAATGATATCTACTGCATCGTGGTTGGCTGAAGTATTCTCTTAGAAAGATCTTAGTGTAAGACAATTAATTAATACGAGAAAAGACTCGCTTCGGACAAAAAAATTCTGCATTCGTCAACTAATATAGAAGAGAAACAAGCTCCTGCTCCTTTAAATCTGCTATATATACATCTTATTCATTCGCAGACTCGGACAAGAAAAATGGCGACTAGGGAACTTAGTGACTCATTGCTCAACTTTTCCATCGACCTGTACAAGCAGCTGGCCTCAACAAACAACTCTTCCGAAAACATTGTCTGCTCCCCGTTCAGTATCTCTGCGGCACTGTATATGGCTCTGGCGGGGGCCCGAAACGTCACCGCCAAGCAGCTCGCCGACGTCCTGCACGTGAACGAGGACGAGGTCCACCAGAACTTCTTCAGCTTCCGGTCCAAGCTGATGGGCCTCGCTCCTGGAGTCAAGTTGCGCGTGGCCAACCGGATGTGCACGGACGAGACTCTTCCGGTCCTCGACAGCTACGTCGCCCTCATGCGGGACTCGTACGGCGCCACGCTCGAAACGGTCGACTTCAAGAACGACTTCGAGAACGTCAGGCGACGCGTTAACGCTTGGGTCGAGCAAGTCACGGAATCCAAGATCAGAGATCTTCTTCCTCGTGGAAGCGTGAACGGCTTGACCAGAATGGTTTTGGTGAATGCAGTCTACTTCAAAGGCCTGTGGGAGTGCCAGTTCGATCCTGCACTGACAGAACGCTCCAATTTCCACTTGGACAAGAGGAACACGACGAAGGTGGACATGATGTACAAAGAAGATGACTACAAGATGGGTCACGACAATGACCTCGCTGTGACCGCACTGGAGATTCCTTACAAAGGCGGAAAGGCTTCCATGGTCATCCTCTTGCCCGACGATATCGAAGGGCTAGCTCAACTCGAAGAACGTCTGACCTTTGCCAAAATGTCTCACCTCCTAAAGTCCCTAACTCTCGACAGCAATGTCCAGTTGGGCATTCCAAAATTTACACTGGAACAGACGGTCAATCTGAAGCAGGCGCTGTACGCCATGGGCATCGAAGATTTCTTCACGGAAGCCGCGGACCTCACGGGAATATTCGAGAAGTATAATGTGCCGGTTTCAGAAGTCTTTCACAAGACGTTCGTGGAAGTCAACGAAGGAGGCACTGAGGCAGCTAGTGCGACCGCACTCGACATGTGCGACTGCGCGGCGTTAAATCAGACCGTATTTATCGTCAATCGGCCTTTTATGTTTTTTATACTTAGCTATCATCCAGAGGCTGTGCTGTTCATGGGCTCCGTTCGAAGAATTTGAACCGTTGCAGTGCTTCCCAATAGTGAGCTTGCCATATTTGGTGGCTTGATGTGTACAGTGGTTTACCAAAAGAAGAGCAAGTAAGAGACTAGATTTTCAGCTGACGCAAATTTAGATAACTAACTTAAAGGGACCCTGCAACACTTTTTGAGCATAATCAGAAAACGCTGACGTAGGTAGCCATGACTCCTTAAAACGGGAGCCACAGATTATAGCGTATCACGCAGTTTAGAATTACCATTTATCAAAATCAGTTAAAAGTTATTCCCTCAGCTCTCAACAAACGATGCCACATACCAAATCGGGTGCCATACACCCAAGTTCACGGCCATTAGCTGACTTGAACATCGTGGGCAGCATAGTTAGCGAGGCCACCGCGGGAGGCCGCCACGTGCCGACGCACGTGCACGCAATCACAGTGACAGTAAGTCACGCTTTCGCAGAAAAAAAAAAGAAAATGTTCTCAAGATCATGTACACGACTGCTGAACATGTTCTACATATTTTCTTCCTTTTGTGCGTGTGTTGTGTTGCGCGAGTACCTGTTGGCCACTTGAAGGGGCCCTCCTCATTGTTGGCGGCTGCGATCAGTGAGCCTCCCAATGCTGCGGGCACCGGGTTTGGACAGATGAGGCAGCCCCGCTTTATTGCACTTGGCTGGTTTGAATGCAAGAGGGGGAAAACACGACACTTTGCGCAATCGTGCCCTGCAGGACGTTCGACACTGCTTTCCCGAATGGCAAAGCCAACAAACGTCTGTGAGTCACAGCGCATCCTGTGACTTCGTGTAACCTTTAGTCAACGCGTGAGTGTGTGTGTGCTTGTCTGTGCGCGTGTGTGTGTCAGCGTACGCGTATGTGTGCGTGGACCTGTGACCACAGGAGCAGAGCGAAAAAAGCGCAGTAAGAACCAGAGGTGCAGTGAGAACAGCGAGTGAAGAAGAGTCTGCGAATTACGATCGACTTCAGTGGTTGTGCGTTGTGCTGTTTAGAGTGGTAATATTATATTTTAGAGTGGTAATAATAATATGGTAACCAAGTTTTCTCTACTAAATACAAGTTTAAATTTTTATATTTTAACAGTGCGTGCGCCGTGTGCTGCGTTTTCTTTTCTATTTCTACTTTTTTACGGCCATCTCTGTGCAACGCCAACATCTTCGAAAGCGGGATAGAGATCGATAAATATCATGACTCGCACATGAGGTATCTTCTTTCTCTCGCGCCCATCCTACCTGCTTAGCGTTTAGTGCATTCTTCCGGACGATAGAAGAGATAAAGTCTACCACCCCGCGAAAAACTAAACAAGAAGCAGAAAGTTGCCTGTAGACAATTACAAACTCACACACTCACACCCAGTGATTCTACGCCTCTGTTATCCAGACATTTATACGTCCAACGACTGTAAAACGTGTGGAGCAAGAGCGACGCTGCAGCACATGCTGTGGGCGGGCGCCGGTAGCGTGCAGCAGCCCCCTATGAGCCGGGAAGATATGACAGTCAAATCACGAGGTGCGGTTTAAGGTGACTGTGCTCAGCCGCGACCTCGCCGATCAACGGTGGGCAGCCCGGCATGCCCAGGAAGGCGCCCATGTCCAAGGACTTGAGACCAACACCTAGGCTGGGGTGCTTGTAGCCCTACCCTGTTCAATACCACCAAACATAGACGATAAAGTTTTATGGGTGAAGCTCCTTAAGGCGTGGGTAGGATGTCACCTGTATGTATGCATGAATGTAGTAACCACCTCACAGCATATCCATGGAGTGAATGATGATGAGTGTGGCTAAGCTTAGGAGGGTTTCATGGGCAAACCTTGGATAATCCACTGGCCGCGTCCATCCGTCGTCTGCCTGCCTGCCTGCCTGCCTGTCTGTCTGTCTGTCTGCCTGCCTGCCTGTCTGTCTGTCTGTCTGTCTGTCTGTCTGTCTGTCTGTCTGTCTGTCTGTCTGTCTGTCTGTCTGTCTGTCTGTCTGTCTGTCTGTCTGTCTGTCTGTCTGTCTGTCTGTCTCACGCACGGACGTACGGACGTAGGTACGGATGGACTCACGGACGCTTCGCCCAACTCATCATAATTCACTTCTTGGATGTGCTGCAATTGTTTTACCCACTCTTTCGTTCACCAAAATTGGAACCAATTCAACATATGTGGGGGCGCTCCTTACGTTACTACTAGAACTTGGGGAGGAGGCTGCAGAACCAATAGTTCCAACTCTTATTTAAATGTTGGAACATAATTGCAATCACTCGTCATACAAGCGTTAACAATATGTGCTGCGACCGCGTAAGTTCAGCCGGGGGCGGGGGGGGGGGAGTACAGACGATTTGACACTTAGGAACGTGTGCACTACTTTTGTACAATCTAGAACAGTGGTCTACAATCAGCGGCCCGCGAAGCCGTATTATGCGGTCCCCAGCCCAACGTCAAAACTCATCCCCTTCCCTCGTCACACCCTATATGAAAGGCGAGGTGACATTTTTACCTCAATGGACCTTTACAGAAATTGGCGCGCGCCACCTAGGCTGGCTACAAAGCATTATGATAAGCCGGTATGCCAGCGGAGTGTCGTCTGCTCGCGGAAGCGTTGATTCCCCTCGTTTCCCGCAGCGCGCGGGCGTACGGACTCATCCTTGCGGGAATATCGCGCGTGATAACCGTGCTTCAGTCCGCACTCACAGAAGAGGCTCAACGCAGAGCAACATAAAGTCAGCAGACGGTAAGTATCCTTGACTTATTAGAGACCAGGGAAAATGCTAACGTACCCGCGAAGAGCCAATTGAATTGGAAACAATTTTCGGCTTTCACGGCGAGCCTGTGCGCTTCGTTGGTCGTATTTCCATGTAGCAAAAGTTTTTCTCTTGTAGCAGAGCAACATAAAGTCAGCAGACGGTGAGTATCCTTGACTTATTAGAGACCAGGGAAAATGCTAACGTACCCGCGAAGAGCCAATTGAATTGGAAACAATTTTCGGCTTTCACGGCTAGCCTGTGCGCTTCGTTGGTCGTATTTTCATGTAGCAGAAGCTTTTCTCTTGTTTTATTTTCAGCATGACCGTACAGCTTTACCATTAGCACTTCATGTTAGGCACTATCACTCGTAAAATGTTTCCACGCGATACGCGGTGCAAGACCATGGCACTTCGCGCATGATAATCAATGTCAAAATTCAACTTTTATAAATGAGTCCGAGCAACAGTATGCTGGTGGATCGGAATTCTAATTGTCTGTTTCATATGTTGTGCCTGTGAAACTTCGCACTTGGCACGGTGAGAGTACAGTAAAAACCAGCTACCAGCACGCCCATAGAATGGACATCAAGTGAGTACTATACGCTCTTGTTGACGCCACCACCACGGGATGCCATATAGCCACCGACGGATTTTTTTATTTTTTTCGTTTCTAAGCGAGAACCGTAGGTGCGCCATCAAGCTTCAAACTTGAGCGTTTGCGTCCCGCGACGGCGACATCGGGTGATCCGAAAAATCATCACGTGATGACAACATGTATGGCGTCAGACATCGCCGAAAATTGTGGCATCATTAAAACGTCCTGTGACTTCACGTAATCACGTGATATCCGAGATTGGTCAAGGTGGTCTGATCATGGAGGCAACGCAAAACCTGATTACGTGCAGCAATTTTTCGAAGGGTAGTGCGGATGGTGGTAGGCGTGGGCCTCGGCAGGGTGTGCAAAAGGGGCACTTACCCCACTCAAAGCACACCAGCACTTGCCCAAGCTACACTAGTTATCTCCCCCAGCCACGATGCAAGACGGGTTCACACGCATGGCATCATCCTGCTGACACTCATTCATGGCCTGGTAGAATCTACACATCGACTGATAATAAAAACAAGATGGTGTTCACCTTCGGGTCTTCTTAGGTGAATGCGCAAGGGACCCTGTGATTCCTAATGAGGCATCCAACGGTGTCGCCTCTATAACTTCGCGTAATTACGTGGTATGCTTCAGCGGCATAAGCCCAGCCCCGTAATCGCTGTAAATGAGAACTCATATACATTAAAAAAGGTCTTACTTAAGCTGCAGCATCACAAAAATTCAAGTCCTGAAGTAGCACTGAGCAATGAAACGCAACGCCCGATGTCTTTCGCGTCTTATGACACCCACAAGCGGAGCTGGTTTATCCGCCGCTTTCCTTATTCTTCGGCGTGTTCTGTGATGATTCTGGCTATTTGTGGCAAGCACGATGACCTAGTTGGCGAGCATGAAAATCGGAGCCCTCAGAGGTAGCCGTTTCTTCACACGAGCAGCACCTTAGGGCCGTTCCACGCGCTTCTCGCACAGCCGCAACGCACGTGCCGGAACCCCTACCGCACGCAAGCGGGGGACGAATAAGCCAATTGGCGACGCTCTTTCACCCTCCGCAGCGTCGCCAAGTGGCTTATTTGTCCCCCGCTTGCGTGCGGTAGGGGTTCCGGCACGTGCGTTGCGGCTGTGCGAGAAGCGCGTGGAACGGCCCTTACTCCAGCCCAAACCACTCACGGCACGCGATGAAAGCAGGCGAAAGCGGGAAAGCGTCGTCCGCTCTTCCCGCCCGGCTCTCCGCTTTCCCATAATGCTCCAGCCCTGATCCGCCAGGGGAAGGCGCAGCGCTGCGATTTCTGAAAGGTCCATTGAGGTTTACACTTGTAACCTGTGTTTGCAAAACATATTTGCGTGCAGAAAAAAAGCATGGTTTTTATTTTGTGATTTGTACAGTATTGCCAAGTTTGTTCAGTACTGCCTATACGCTCACTTTTTAAATGCGAAACATTTCTTAGCGAACTTCAACAACCTTGAGACTATCTATCTATCTATCTATCTATCTATCTATCTATCTATCTATCTATCTATCTATCTATTTATCTATCTATCTATCTATCTATCTATCTATCTATCTATCTATCTGGCCGATTACGTTTGGGTGCTCTCGTGGTCAACCCCTTTACATGGCGTGAACCAAATCAAGCATGGGGAAGTAAGGCGGTTGTACGAATATGACGCGCTGGT